ATGCGGAGCTCTCACCGCTTATAAGCTCTAAAACAGTCTCAGGCTCTGGGGATGGCAACGCAACCACTTTAACGGTCGGAACGGGTTTGAAACTCTGCGGCGCGACATCGGAGACAATATAGCTTTGCAAACGGCTCTTCTGTGGTGATTTGACGTCAGGTATTTTACCATAATACTCATTCGATTGCTTGCTGCTGCGATAGGCATTCTCGTGTGATGCATATTTTTCATGTGAAACGGCTTTATCACTAATTGCCCGTACCGAATTGCCATGCGAACCACCGTCAGCATATGTCTCCACTTTGTCAATGACAGCCAAAAATTTTCCCCTACCATTAAGCGCAGTGCTTGACTCAAACGGACGACCAGCACTTCTAAAGGGTTCAGCTGTCTGTACGTGTACGTTTTGACTGGCGTCTGAGATAGTTTCAATGTCGTCCACCGTTCGAAAGTCTAACAAGGCTGACTGGGACTGCGGTGTATTGGGTGTGTTAGAGGGATTTCTGTTTTGTTGTGGTATATTTGGGTTGTGTGCGGCGAGACTGTGCGGCTTGGAGACTACCGTGACAAACGTCTCGTCCGAGTTAGAATATTGTGCACTGGGAAACGGTTGGGGTTTTTGTGTGGATGTTGTCGTTGTAGTGGATGTTGGTATGCTTGTTGTTCTTTGCGTTGGAGTTGGGGAAGATGTAGGTGGAGTTGGAGATGGGGGTGGTGTTTTGATTGTGGAAGGTGGTTGTTGTGGTGGATTGGATTGCGTACGTTGGTTCTTTTGGTATTTATTTGCATGCGTTTTAGATCTGTAGGAGAAATCCACATTTTCGGTTAATGTTAGTGTTGTTGTTGTTGCTTTAGATATGGTAATTGGAAGAGAGAGAGAGAGAGAGATAGAGAGAGGTGCTGGTGGTAGTAGTGGTGGTGGTGGTGGTGGTGGCAGTTGTGGTTGTTTATACGTCAGTGGTAGTTTGTTGTTGGACATTCAACGATTTTAAGAAAAATATACTTTTTAGATGCGCGACTTTAGGTTACTTTGTATGCTTGCTATTACCAATTTTATAGACAGTTTAATAATTAATATGTATACGGCATGTAGTTTGGATCACTGCTGGAGGGAATGTCTTTAAAGTCTTAATCACCAATCAAGTTAATCCATGATTGTGGTGATGGATTAATTAATTATTTACCTAGTGCATAATGATTGGCGTGAGTCAGTGGTGGTCCTAAAATTTTTGTTTTTCGAAAATGAGGTAATGCTGAAAAGATTATAGGCACCTATGTACTTCGTCGAATATTTTTGTAGTCAAAAAAAAAAATAATTAAAATTAAATTCGGAAACGCATTGCTCGAAAATAAATATTAGTAGTACTGCAAAATAAGCTTTCAAAAAACCAGCAGGCATCTCATGCAATATTTTTCACTTCATTTCCATAGAGCCTATATTGGTTCTGGTACTCCTTTGTTTGCATGCAGTTAATGACTGTGTTCACAGTAAGTCTTCAAACAAAAGTAAAACATGCAAAATATTCGCAAAACTTTAAATGCGCTATGCTGAGGAAAAAAAGTTATCGTCCAACTTAATTGAATGTTGGACTATTCTGATCCCTGAGAGAAAGGTGAGTAAGTCGCTATTGTGCCTGGGCTTTTCTAAAAAAATATTTTAAGATCTTTTCCATTCGGTAAAATGGTTTTCCAAACTAAGTTTTGATAGACTTTTAACTATGGGAATGAGTATCTTCTGCTACGGTTCGATTTAGTTAATTCCCAAGAAGCTCTCATCTATATACAAGTATGAAAATGATAGCCGTTTTCGTTGTTTGGACTTAACTAAAAAAAACTGGATTGATTTCAGTAACATTTTCGGAAGCTTTACCTGGTAGATATGGTCCCATAACAGGCTACCACAAAATTCGCTAGTATTTCATAAACAGAAAATTTAATTTTGAACGGTATGTGACCCTGCTGTATCCTCCAGCTGAACAACAAAGTACGAAACTCATTACCATCTAGCAACGTTCGAATGGTGAATAGCTTGAAAACCTGCGAAAACCCGATTTTAATACTCTTCTACGCTGTTTGGACAAAAAAAAATAAATTTCCTAAGAATCCCAAGGAGGAACAAATGGGAAGGTACCGTAGAGCGAAACTCAGGGTCGACTTCGGCCTATACAAATAACTTCGCTAAACGAAAGAGTAGGCAGCGAGATTAACTACAGTTAACTCACACTAAACCTCAGTCTTCGCTTATCGGACTATAGTAACAGAAAGTCCGAGCTAACCGCCATAAGCGAATAACGGAATAACCTCCAAAGTAACCATCGAATAAAGGACTTTCAACAACCTAGCATCTAAATGCTCGTTGGTTTTTGTATGGGAACACACCTGTCGGTCTACCAGACAGATCTGGACAAAAATCGATGAAAATTGATCTAATTCACTTACTCGACTTGGCCACTTCACCCCCTCAATAGTTCATTATAGGTGCGCACGATTTTTGTTGCAGAGACGAGGAAGAACTTTGAGGCATCGAACATTATTTCTGAAACTGTTCCAGCCTCGTCAAGACCTTTCGGACTACTAGTTTTACCTAGGCTAAACTAGTTCGCCCTACATGCGATTATGATAAGCCAGAGTTCGACTGATGAGGATAACCCTTTCAATTTGGCCGAAGACCGCCAATGCCGAAATAAGTTACTGCCTACTGCGTAGCCGGAATAGGGCTGCTTTCTCCTATCGGGCTTAGGCTAGACCCGTTTGTAAGACTAGTTTGTCCGACAATCGTATTTGACTGGTAGCATATATGTATGTAACTATGTTTAAAGCGCAATTGGTGGTTGAATTGCTAAGGGGAAGGTCGGAAGTGCCTCTGCGCTCTTGAACGAAATCAGGCACTCTAACCTAACGTTGCCAAGACGGTGTAACATTCTTCAATTCCGACGTAGTTATTCAATTTGGTCGTAGCTAGCCAGCCTTACCGAAATTCAAAATTATTTTTAGGTCACAGTGCTCTAAGCGCTTATAGTAAAAACAGTAAAAATATCACGTCATACTTTTGTCAATTCTTTTTAGATGCGATTTCTACTACTCTCACAAATAACATAATCTTTCTCAGTTCTCTACACGCTCTCAGGCCTCTAACACTTAGATGGTGATGATAATTAATGCGTATACCTACAAAATTGCGTATCGATATTTATATGCGGGTATGTGTACCGTGTGCTTGAAGTATATGTATGTGGCTCTCTCAATGCTCTGTGTTTCTGAAATTCTCAACTTATTCATTTTTTTACATTTGATTTGCGTGTTCCTATACGATGTATTTGTGCGTGTTTAGAATGAATAACTAAGGTTCCACATGAAATAGAAAGATCGCTAGTATGAAAATGCTTTTGAGAATTATATCCTAGCAACTAAGTATACTGGATGACCTTAAAATGATAGCACTAGAGCGAAATGTATGAATATGTAATTGCCAATTGGCGTAGAGCTTTTTGTCATTTTGTACTGCATGTAAGTATGTTTGCATGGAAGTGTAAGTGCTAAGTATGTAAGTATTTTATGGTCGCTTGATGAGTATTTGCTGATGATTGTGATTTTTGTCAACAATTCAATTATCCAATCAATAAACTATTTAAAAAACAAAAGCCAAATATATATATCACGCAATGATGATCAATAAACGCAGTTACATAATGAATCGACTTAAACGCTTTTTATTTTTATTTTCAAATGAACGAATTCCAGTAGAAAGTACGCGAAGCAATAGATGATGAAGAATAGTTATAAGTACTATGAGTATATTCGGGCGCGATTAGCGTGTCAAAGACTATACCTTAACGATTTGGTTGTTGTTGTTGGTGCCGCCTGTGTTGTGCGTACAATTTGGGTGGTGC